TAGGCTTCGAACCCTGGGCACCAGCGTCAATGATGTCCCACCCAGGGCCAGGAGCCGGATTCCCACATCTAAACTCCAGCAGCTCAGGTACAGGACCTCCGTCTTCGATGGATTCAACTTCAGCTGACTCTGCTGTTACGAGCCAGCCACAGTCCTCAACACCCAGTCCAGAGTGACACCCAAGCCCAAACTCTCCGATCAGCTGGGTGAGAGAGCGCATATAGACGTTAAATAATATCAGGGAGAGAATCCAGCTGCCTCCAAAGGTTATCGGTAAGGGTGACCGGTGTTGTCTCGGTCCCACGGTGTAGTGTATTCAAAGCTGCCTTGAATGCATGATATGTTGTGAAACATCTAATTGAAGTGCAATGTAAAGCTTCGTCCTGGGCTAGGATCCAAATCCATCCAATCGTGTCACTAGCCCAGGAAGCACCCAACCAATCACCTTCTAGCAAGCTCCCTGAGCGGGAACATCCGTGATTGGTCCTTATGTGAACAATCTTATTGGTTGATACGTGTACAGTGGGTGTGGCTACATTCGCCGGGAATGTTTAAAAGCAGGACAGCTGCAATGTAAAGGCTGTTCTGGCTATCAGATGTTGATCCGTGTTGGAGTTGGGTTCGAGTTGAATTTCCTTCTTTGATTGTGTTCCCACAGTATTCACAAGTAAAAAGACACACTGCTTTTTACTTGTGAATACTGTGGGAACACAATCAAAGAAGGAAATTTTTGGACCATAAGTTTATTTTATAATCACTGGGCTAGTGATTGCACTCTAAAGGTCTTATGTGCATATTTATCCTGTGCCTGGTGATTTTACTTTTGAACAATTTACTTTATGGTCCTTATTGAATCTATACTTTGTATATATTTCTGATTGTGTTTGTGTGAATGTGATTGTTGACCATCTTGCCACATATGTATGACCTCTGAGGAAGGCCTGTTTGGCCAAAACGCGTAAGGTCAGCTTTTTAAGCCCTTGATATTGTTATGTTTTGTATACATTGGTTGTAATTGGGCCCCTATATATGTTTTAAAATTTGTTATTATCAATAAATACATGTACCTTTTTTATGGAAAGGTTTTAATATTGGCTCTCCTTTTCACTGACCTTTGTTTGGTTCTGGAGTAAATCTATTCTTTACGTGATCTTTAACCCTTTCAGGAATGTTGTTTAGACTTTAGTTCCTGACATAGAAAAATATTCTTTCAGTCAGGCTTTTTTAGCCTTTCTATTACAAAATGGATGTGAATTTATTGTAATAAAAGTTTTATCTTTTTGCAGTGTCCTTGTATGATGAGCCCCTGTATCTCCCCAACTGTCTGGCAGATTTCCCCCCACCAAATCTTCAGTTTCCCTCAGTGACTGAGGTGCCCTACAGTAGCATGTATATATTCTTTGTCATAAAAGACGTGACTATTCCACCCTATGTTTAGATATTTAGTTTAGGCTTTTACTCAGCTCAGGGACTCTACTGAAAATAGAATCAGGAACTCTACTGAAAATACAGGAGCTATCCGGTTTTCTTTAAACTCTTGAGAAATAGCACTTGAGGCAAATTAACTTTCAAAACAGAATAAAGATTTTATTACAGGCAGGGAATATATGTATAAATGGAATAGTCAAGGGTTGGTGATTGCTGAGGTAACAAACTTTCTAATTTCTTAGAACATTCAAGAGAGTGTATTTGTAGTTTTGTTTCAAGGCTTTCTATTTCTTTCTTTGGGAGGTACTTTGTTTAGTATAATTCAGCACTAACACAGTTCTTATTGATGTTTCTAGATTTCTTCCCTCAGAGTTTTAGGTTTTCTTTTAGACATTACAGCTTTTCACTAACTCCTGAGGTGTCTAAGCTTCTCTCCTTTATCACAGACCAGGGTTCTCTTCCCAACCCCTTTTGCTGGCAGGAAGTTATTCTCTTTGTCCCTAATAAGTCCTTTTACTATTTGGCTTGTATGGGAGTTCACTCTGACTGCCTAGACCTTCTGCCAAATCCTTCTCCAGTATCCTTTGTCTGTATAATGTGTTCTGTAGCTTTCCTGACTGAAAACCTAAAGTTCTCCCTCAGAGCAATTTTAATATAGCTAAGACAATGGTGTTTCTCTTCTTCTTTCTGTAGAAGTACTTTTCTGACTATTGACACTGACTCCCAAATGCCTCTTCCCCCAGAAGCCAAACCCTCTGACTACTGACCTAAATGTTAGTTTTCACACAACCAAAAAGGAGAAAGACCAAATTGCAAAAGACCACCTTGTGAAAGACCTCTTTTCCCTCCAGATCAGCTGTTTTATTTCCTCTCTCAGCTGATGTTGGCCAATCAGAGAGCAAGTAGAGCAGCCAATCACATGATATCTTCTCTCTGGGTAAGATTAACTCATGAACTCCCTGGCTCTCTGATACAAGGAGCATCTTAAAAGCCTGCTTTTCTGTGCAATCCGTCACACCTTGTGTCACGGATCAGGTGGGGTGTCGCCTGCCACCACTCTGGATTTAGGATCCCTTGAGAAGGCCCAGAGCACCCTCCCAAGACCTTCAGACCTTCCTTTTGGCCGAATAATAGGCGTGAGGACCAGGCAGAGTGAACAATGAAAACGGTTTATTTTATAGGAGGTCAAACAAACAAGGTACAGGAATAATAACAGTAAGTGGGTGAAAAGAAAAGAAATCAAATGCCCTAGTGTCTAAATATACTGTCCCTAGTTCACTATCTCAAGTGGCCTTAGACTACTCACCCTTCCCTCAGGATGAGGGTTTTTTCCCCATAGCAGCCTTCCTTCTGGCCCTGTTCCCTGGGAAGAAGAACAGCTTCTCCTCTTGCACCAGTTATTTTATTATAAGTCCCCTTTCTCTGTGATTGGCTTATTTTGGCTCCAAAACCTCTCAGGGGCTTCTGGGAGTTGTAGGTCTAGCCTCCTCCCACTGCTACACAGGCTCCCTGGGCCTGCTAGGCCTTGCTTGCACAGCCCAGATCATGACACCTTGCCTCAAGTGTGTTTGCTGTGCGTGATTCTACGTTTTCTTGACTGCAGCTTTGCAATACTAATAGATATCTCCGATAGTTTTGATATTTTCCAAGGATGTTATCCCACGGAGGAAAAAGTGCTGTTGGGAACAGCTCTCTCCTTCTACCTTTCTGCCTTCAGCAGGCCCTTTCTTTTATCCAGTGCACACGCCCTAACAGATGATGCTAGGCAGTGGCCTTTGACAGATAATAGATTTTAACTCCATGATTTTATTAATGTGATGAATGGCAGCTAATGGGCATTTGCAAGTCTGGTGGGTGGAAGAAGAGTGAGGGGCAGTGAAGTCCAGCAGCTGTGGCCCAAGAAATGAGGAGCTTGTGAAGGACAAGGAGGAAACAGAATTTAGAAACCTGGCTTGAGCTGGCAAAGTCTTTTGTAACAAAAAAAAAGCAGAAATCCCTGGCGCCTGAGGGGCTAGCAACATCCATTCCAGGACGAGCTTTCAGGAGTCAGGACTCCCTTCTTCAGCTGCTATGAAGGGAAAATAATTTTCCACGTTTTAATTGGGAAAATTACAGAAGGAGAGGAGGGAAAGGGAGGCGTTGTGGGCAGAGAGAGGTGTGGTGTGATTCCTATCATAAACATTTCACGTGTGCTTCTCTGTGTAAGGGACTAGAATGGATTAGGTTGCTACACATGATGGTTTATGAGGGATGTCAGAGGTTCCAGCCTCTCTCTCTCTGGGCGCAGATAAACAAAAGTGTAATTAAGTAGGATAGGCAGCAATGAATCGAGGAAGAAGCAGTCTGAAGCATAAGAAAGTTAATGAACGTCAGTATAAGTAATGTATAGCATGATGCCGATATCCATAACGTTAAGTTATGGTATGATATGTAAGTATATGCAATGTGTATGTACAGTATAGTATGATATGTAATATACAGTATGAAACAGATATCTAGAATGTTAAGAAAAGCCTGTTAAAGTTTTTGAAGAGTGGGTCCAGTTGAGTTTTTCGAAGTTATAGTGGGTAAGCAGGGCTTTTTTTGTAGAAAAAGCCCAACAGGAACTCATTAGCATAATAGGCCACACCCATGACAGCACAGCTCATTAGCATATTAGGCCACACCCATGACAGCCCAGCTCATTAGCATATTAGGCCACACCCATGACAGCCCAGCTCATTAGCATATTAGGCCACATCCCCGTGTTACCAGAAGTGTGGCCATCCAGCCACACCCACCTTTTGCTTCTTATTCTGTTTACCTTGTTTGTTGTCAAAACCCAGGGCTTTTTTGTAGCAGGAACTCCTTTGCATGCTAGGCCACACACCCCGAATGTAGCCAATCCTAATGGGTTTCTGCTGTTGGGTGTGGCCTGTTATGCTAATGAGTTCCTTCTGGGTGTGGTCAACTTGGAAGCCAGCCGGAACTCCGTTCCTGTGCGTTCCTGTCCAAAAATAGCCCTGTGGGTAAGAAAACCCAAGTCCATTTTTAAGCCAGGATAACAGGTTTTTGATTTCCTGAGGAGTTCTAATTCAGCACTTTCCATCTTTTGTGCCACTGACAAAGACTCTTCATATTGCTTTACTGAACAGAGCTCCTGATGGGGAAGGAGCCCATTCTGAGAGGTCTCTGTGGAAAAACAGAGACAGAGTGTAGCTGCCTCCATAAAGTTTGGGTGGGTGGGTGGCTGTGTGGGCCAAACAGGGACAGACAATCCTTGGAGTTCACTAGGCTGTTTCTGGAGTATGTGTCAGGGATGGGAGCAAACAGTTCAATCTAGTGCAAGAGAGAAGGTTTTGGCTACTAAGCGGTTGAAAATGATATTCTATGTTCCTGAATATGACATTGCTGAAACTCCACTGCAAGTAGACTGAATTAAAGAAGCGACACAACTTATGGAAATATTATTTCCCCCCCCCCCAATAAATCAAAGGAGTGATGCAGGCACTGGCAGGAAAACAGAATGCAGGCCTCGATCCTCTTTCCTCCAGCCTGCCTCTCTGAGCATTAACAACCGTGTCTGATTGCAGAAAGGAGCAGGATTTCACCTGGATTTCTTCTGCGTCTCCCTTCTGATGATTCTCACCTCAGTCATGGGCTTGCCCTGGTACGTGTCGGCCACAGTCATCTCCCTGGCCCACATGGACAGCCTGAAGAAGGAGAGCACCACATGTGCTCCGGGGGAGCAGCCGAAGTTCCTGGGAATCAGGTATTGTAGCCGCACCTTTCATTCCGCTGCCCAAATGGGCTTTTGCAAGCCATGTTCCACCAGGCCTTTGGCTGAGGACAGCAGCGGTTTCCATCCCTTTCCGCTCCAGTTGCTTCTCATATCTGCTTTGCCTTCCTCTCCCCTGACTGCGGAGCGGCCAGCAGTCCGAAATGGGACCAATTAATATACACAGGGCTTTTTTGGTAGAAAAAGCCCAGCAGGAACTCATTAGCATAATAGGCCACACCCAACAACAGAAACTTATTAGCATATCCAGCCACACCCCTGACAGCATAGCTCATTAGCATATTAGGCCACACCCCACCTTAACAGAAGTATGGTCATCCAGCCACACCCACCTTTTGCTTCTTATTCTGTTTACCTTGTTTGTTGTCAAAACCTAGGGCTTTTTTTGTAGCAGGAACTCCTTTGCATGTTAGGCCACACACCCCTAATGTACCCAATCCTAATGAGTGTCTGCTGTTGGGTGTGGCCTATTATGCTAATGAGTTCCTGCTGGGCATGGCCAACTTGGGAGCCAGCCAGAACTCTGTTTCTGTGCGTTCCTGCCCCAAAATAGTCCTGAATGTACACCATCTTGTTTGAAATGTATTATTAGTGTTTTAATTGTTTTATCTTCATGCTTTTATGAATTATGTACATTGCCCAGAGCAGGATTGGGCGATTAACAGATTTAATAAATTAATAAATACATGTTGTCTGCCACCTTTCCCCTTTGTGCAGCTAGACCAAGGGTGTCGAACTCATTTGTTAGGAGGGCCGGATCTAACATAAAATGAGACCTTGTTGGGCCGGGCCATGTGTGACATAAAATGTAATGCCAGGTAGCAGAGATATAAACTTTATAAAGGACACAAACACAAAGGTTTTTTTTTTTACTTAAAATAAAAACATGCTTAAAACGTTAGCTCTGTGAGCTGCAAACCTACTTTTGATTTATTGACATTCACCACAGAAATCTCATGCTCAGAGTTCTGAGTCTAAGACCCAGGTTAAAACATGAAATGGCTGAGCGATTGAAAGAGTCTGGCAAAGCAAGCTATGATGCAGCAGCCACAGCAGAACTGGAAGCAGGAGATGGCCAGCTCCACTGTGGGCCTGATGGAAGCCCTCCGGGGGCCTGATCCGGCCCCTGGGCCACATATTTGACACCCCTGAGCTAAACAATTGTTTGGCCTGCAAGAGAAGAGGTGCCAGGATTCAGCCTTCCTTCTGCCGGCTACCTGTGCATACAAGTAGTTGGGTGGGAAAGGCAGCAGAAGACATCCAGGGCAACGTGAAGGTCTAACCACAGGTGCTCTTGTTTGCAGGGAGCAGAGGGTGACGGGGCTGATGGTTTTTCTTCTAACCGGTCTGTCTGTGTTCTTGGCACCTGTCCTCAAGGTGAGACAGATTTTCAGAATCGGTATGTGTTGATTTAAGAGGGAGGGATGTTTGCATATCGGCCCTGGAGACAGGATGGATCATCAGAAAGGGACAGGCAGAGGGCAAGTTTAACCTTTTCCCCAACTAATAGTGTCTATGCTGTAGCATAAGCAAACTTTTTTTTTTTTTAGCCATCAGGTCGCAGCCAACTGATGGCGACCACAGGGTTTTCAAGGCAAGAGACATTCAGAGCTGGTGTGCCATTGCCTGCCGCCGCGTAGCAACCTTGGTAGCTGTGCAGAGGAAAGCTATGGCAAATCTCTACTCATCTCCTGCCTTAAAACCCCCGTGGTCCCCATAAGTCGGCTTCAACTTGACAGCACACAGTTATAAGCAAACATAAGCAAGTTCTTAATACAGGGCGTGCTTCTTGAAGTGTTCATTGTCTTGAAGCCCCAGGTCTCAGCTGACCCAACAGCATGTCTGAACTTAGAGCCCCAAAAGTATAGCTCAAAATAAACTTATGGAAAGGACTGAGAGTAGGGTGGCCAACTTCTAAGTGGGGCCTGGAGATCTACTGGCCAGTTTGGTGTGGTGATTAGGAGCGTGGACCCTCATCTGGGAGAACCAGGTTTGATTCCCCACTCCTCCACATGCAGCTGCTGGTGTGACCTTGGGTCAGTCACAAGTTTTTTTTCAGAGCTCAGGAGCAGTTCTCGAAAGAGCTCTCTCGGCCCCACTTACCTCACAGGGTGTCTGTTGTGGGGAAGGGAAAGGAAATTGTAAGCCGCTTTGAGACACCTTCAGGTAGTGAAGGGCGGGGTATAAATCCAATCTCCTTCTCCTTCGTCCTTGAAAAGTACGCAAACGGAGAGTGATTTCAGCAAAGCGTACTTTATTCTATCCGGAACAAGACGACTTTGGCCGGCTCGCAGGCTGGCTTATATCCCCCTAGAAACCGCCACCCAAAACACACACCCCCACTTCCCTATAGGTTATTTACAGTGGCCGAGAGTCCCATAGGCTCTCGGCTGGGAACCTAGCCCCCTGATTGGAGCGGGCTAGGATCCACATAGTCCATTGACTCTTGGAGCGAAGCTCGACGTTTGTCTCTGGACTTGCCTGGACTTGATACATGACAGTCCTGGAATCACAATATTTCCGGACGACAGAGATCAGTTCCCCTGGAGAAAGTGGCTGCTTTGGAGAATGGGTTCTGTGGTGTCACATCCCTGCTAAGGCCTCTCCCTTCCCTAAACCCAGCCCTCCTCAGGATCCATCCCCAAATTTCTAGGAATTTCCCAACTCAGAGTTGCCAACCCTAACTGAGAGTGCGTGAGGGATCACGCCCATGTATAGTGATGTTGCAGTTCTCCTGCACAGAAGTCTAAAACAGGACTGGGCCATGCCCTTCCCTGTATCCTCGAGGGCTGCTGTTTTAATTTCTCTCATATAAGAAAATGCCTCCCACTGGAAGAGCACCGGCTGGCCAGGGGGAAACAATGGCCCGACCTGCCCTTGTGCTTTTAACAGCTGTTTGGTAGTAGGAATTACACGACTGTTCCCCTGCTATGGTGACAAAAACATTTAACGGTGCTAAGTGCTACAGATTTATTCTGCATTGAATAAAATGCTTCCCAAGGGCAGAGTTGCCAGCTACCGTGAATGGCACAGCCATGGAAAGTGGTTGGAAAGTTAGCAGTCCTTCCCGGGGGAGAGGGCAGGATCTAATCAGCAAGGCAGCTTGTCGATGTACAGTGACTAAAGGAGCAGGAGCCCACCCCACCCCACCCCTTGGCATTTAATCAGCCTAGCCCTGACTGGGATGGCTCAGGCTTGCCCGAGCTGGTCAGACCTCAGAAGCTAAGCAGGGTCGGTTCTGGTTAGTACGTAGATGGGAGACCACCGAGGAAGTCCAGGTTTGCCATACAGAGGCAGGCAATGGCCAACCGCCTCTGAACATCTCGTGCCATGAAAATCCTACAAGGTCGCCATAAGTTGGTTGTGACCAATGTTCCCTCTAAGGTGTGGAGTCTTGTGAGCAAAAATTCTACTTGGTGAGCTCCTGGCATTAAAGTGGTGAGTGAGCGATTTGGTTACTGCGTAAATTAGTTTGCTCTGGAGCCCCATCCTTCCTGAGCTAACACAAAAATGTGTGAGCCGGAGGCTAAAAAACTGTGAGCTAGCTCACACTAACTCAGCTTAGAGGGAACGCTGGTTGTGACTTGACAATACTGACAGGAACTGCAAAGTCTGATGGAAGAGCCGTGTAGTTGGTAGACTTTCAGACTGTGACCCAGTTTCAAATCCCTCCTCTGCCATGGAACCCAGCTGAGGGACTTTGGGCCAGTCATACTCTCTTAGACTAACTTACTTCATGGGGTGGTTGTGAGCAGTGTTCCCTCTAAGCTGAGTGAGTGTGAGCTAGCTCACCGTTCTTTAGCCTCCGGCACACATGTTGTTTGTCTTCGCTCAGGAAGGATGGCCCCTGAGCAAACTAATGTATGCAGCGGCCAAATGGCTCGCTCACAACTTTAATGCCAGCAGCTCATAAAGTAGAATTTTTGCTCACAGGACTCCACAGCTTAGAGGGAGCACTGGTTGTGAGGTTAAAATGGAGGACTGGAGAATGATGAGATCTGCTTTGGATGCCTTTTAGAGTGGAAGGCAGGTTATCAATGAAGTAAATCAACAAATTAATTAAAGAAAGCCCCGTGCTGGCCGTACTGACGCTTTGCCTTTGCTTTCCCGCAGTTTATCCCAATGCCTGTGCTATATGGGATTTTTCTCTACATGGGTGTGTCTGCCCTTAGCAGCATCCAGGTGAGTGTAAAGCATTACTAGAAGAATCATCTGAAGGTCTGCAGTAAAGAATGTGCTACTGACTTGATTGCCAGACAGCTCCCTCTGAGCAGGGTGGTTACCGAGCAAAACAGAAGGCACCAGCATTAGAAGTGTGTGTGAGAATTATTTATGTATTTACAAAATTTATATCCCGGCTTTCGGCCCTCACAAGGGCCACCAAGGTGGGCTGACAAATTAAACCATACATGATAAATTCACATTTTAAAACAATTTACCCCCCCCCCCACAAACACACACACATCATTAAAGCGGTTAAAAACAAAGCTAAAATACATACAAAGATATAAAAACAATTGTTGAAACATTGGGCGGGAAAGAAGGGATCACTGAGGGAACGCCAAATGTAACAAAAAGTCTTCACCCACTGGCAGAAGATGGCAACAGGCGGGGACCAGTGTTCCCTCTAAGCTGAGTTAGTGTGAGCTAGCTCACAGTTTTTTAGCCTCCGGCTCACACATTTTTTGTCTTAGCTCAGGAAGGATGGCTTCAGGGCAAACTAATTTATGCCGTAGCCAAATCGCTCGCTCACAACTTTAATGCCAGTAGCTCACAAAGTAGAATTTTTGCTCACAAGACTCCACAGCTTAGAGGGAACATTGGTGGGGACAGACAAATCTCCCAGAGGGGAGAGAATTCCAGAGTTTTGGAGCCACGACTGAGAAGGCCCCCTCGTAGGTTGCCACCTGCATAATCTCCTAAAGTAGTAGTAGAAGAAGAAGAGATTGGATTTATACCCCACCCTTCACTACCTAGAGGAGTCTCAGAGCGGTTTACAAACTCCTTTCCCTTCCCCTCCCCACAACAGACACCCTGTGAGGTAGGTGGGGCTGAGAGAGCTCTTGACAGAAACTGCTCTTTCTCAAGGACAGCTCTTATCAGAACTACAGCTTGCCCAAGGTCATCCAGCCAGGTGCAAGTGGAGGAGTGGGGAATCAAACCCGGTTCTCCCAGATTAGAGTCCGCGCACTTAGCCACTACACCAAACGGGCTCTTGTGAGGGCACTTGAAGCAGGGCCCCTGTAGTTGACCATAGCAGTCAAGCAGGTTCACGAGGGAGTAGGCATTCCTTCAGGTGTGCTGGTCCAAATAGGGTTGCCAGCCTCCAGGTGGGGCCTGGAGATCTCCCGCTTTTACAACTGGTCTCCACCTAACAGAGGTAGGCTCCCCTGGAGAAAATGGCTGCTTTGAAGGGCGGACTCTGTGGCATTGTACCCTGCTGCGGCCCCTCCCCTCCCCAAACCCCACCCTCTCCTGGATCCACCCCCAAAGTCTCCAGGGATTTTCCAACCCAGACCTGGCAACCCCAGGTCCCAAACCTTTGAGGTCAACCCCAGCACCTTGAATTGTGCCCAGAAGCAGATTGGGAGCCAGCATAGGCGAGCCAAGACTGGAGAAACATGGTCCCTACAGTCCACTCCAGTCAACATCCTGGTTGCAGCATTCTGTACCGACTGAAGTTTCCAAACACTTTTTTCAAGGGCGGCCTGACGTGGAGTGCAGTGCAGTGACCTAATCTAGCGGTAATCAGGGAATGCTCCACAGCGGCCAATCTTGTTTGTTCTACTTGGCACCGGTGCTCCCTCTAAGCTGTGGAGTCTTGTGAGCAAAAATTCTACTTTGTGACCTGCTGGCATTAGAGTTGTGAGTGATCAATTTGGCCCCTGCATCAGTTAGTTTGCTCTGGAGCCATCCTTCCTGAGCTGAGACTAAGGCTGCCAAGTGGGGGCGGGGGGCGGGTAAACCCCCGCTTTGGAGGCCCGATTTCCGACGCCGCGGAATCGGGCCCCGGGGGAAACCCCACCCCCGCGTGCGCGTCACCAGGAAGTGACGTGGGTGCGCTGGGGGCGGGGCCACAGTCATACAAGGAAAAACTCTATGGTTTTCCCTTGTATGGCCGTGGCCCCGCCCCCAGCGTGCCTGGCGTCCTCCCGTCACTTCCGGGTGACGCGCGTGAGGCGCACGCACAGGATGCCGGCCGGGAGCCCCCTGCTCCCGGCGAAGATGCACTTGGCAACCCTAGCTGAGACAAAAATGTGTAAGCCAGAGGCTGAAAAACTGTGAACTAGCTCACACTAACTCAGCTTAGAGGGAACATTGTTAGGCACTCCCTCAGTGATCCCGCCTTCCTCCCCAATGTTTTAACTGTCGTTTTTTATCTTTTGTACTTATTTTAAACTTTTAGTTTTAACTTGTTTTAATTTTTTGCTATTTGTTTATTGACGTTCTTTGTAGTCCGCCTTTCTTACACGGACTCAAGGCGGATTACACATAGTGAGTCAGCACAATCGACAAAATGGGACATTCGGTGACTAAAGCATTAGGAGATTAGAAGCCTGGAACCAGCAGAAAGAAACAGAAGCAGACCATAAGTATTCACATGACACATTAAGCAGGACAGAAATTACATAAATGGGATCCTACTTACAATAATGATGTATTTGTGTGTTGGTTTTTAATGGCTTTTAAGATAATGTTTTAATTTGTATGTTTTAATTTGTTAGCTGCCTTGGTGGCCCTTTGGGGGCAGAAAAGTGAGGTAAAAATCTTGCAAATAATTACGTAAAATAAATAAAATTGACAAAGGGCAGGGAAGATGGATGGCTGAGCCGGTGTTTGATCCGTTAGTCTGTAAATCTTCATTGCACCTGCAAAGCTGGGAGGAAGCCTTGTGGCTGGTCCCTGTTCTCAGACACACAGGAATCCCTAGAAGAGGGCCTTTAATGTGGGAGCTGCTGGCAAAATACTAATCATGTGGCGCATTCCAAACATTGAATATCTTTCACAAGCATTATTTGTGTTCATTATGTTACAATAACCTTGTAGGGTTATGTCAGTATTATCCCCCCTATATTGTTGACCCGGGGGGTTTGAGGAGGGGCAGGTAGAGGCCTTCCTATGGCCACTTTTCGGAGAGGATCTGGGGAAATGGCTGCCATGCAGGCAGGAAAATCTAAACTCCTCTCTCTCACACACACACGTCCACCATCTCCCGCTTTCCTGTGATCTTTCCAAAAACTTTGGGACAAAGCAGGTTTGAGAAAGATTAGAGAAAATCCAGGGATACCCTTGGAATGCACCATGATGCTCCGGGGAGGGGGGAAGCACTTCCCAACAGCACTGAATATGGGCCACATAACCCATGTGGAAATGGCCCTAGTGAGTTTATGACTGAGTCACGACATAAACTTGCAGCACACAAGCTCCCTTTTAGCCTCCACCCTAAATTTACTCCCCTACTTTGTGTCTTCAGAGCTGTATTTTACCTGGACATATTTATGTGGTCTTCAGCAAACACCCCTTGATCTCTAGGGTTGCCAGCTTCCAGGTGGGTCCTGGAGACCTCCCGCTTTCACAACTGATATCCAGCCGACAGAGATCTGTTTCCCTGGGGAAAATGGCTGCTTTGAAGGGTGGACTCTATGGCATTGTACCATGCTTGAGGCCCCTCCCCTCCCCAAATCCCACCCTCTCCTGGACCCACCCCCAAAGTCTCCAGGTGTTTTCCAGCCCAGACCTGGCAACCCTATTGCTCTCTCTGATAATGTTTTATGGTTTGATGGTTATTGCACATTGTCCTATTGCACATTGTCCTATTACACATTGTCCTATTGCAGGACAGGAGCTTCCTGCTGTGAGATATTTGGGGCTACAGGAAGGTCGTCATGTGCCTTTTCTATTTTCCAGTTAACGGACAGACTTCAGCTCCTGCTGATGCCAGCCAAACATCAGCCTGACTTCATTTATCTCCGCCACGTCCCGTTACGCAAAGTCCATCTCTTCACTTTCATTCAAATACTCTGCCTGGCTGTTCTGTGGATCCTGAAGTCAACCGAGGCTGCCATCATCTTCCCATTGATGGTGAGAGAGTGGTCGTATCTCCATGTTGTCTCATGATGATACAGTTTGCTGGGCTCCTCGTACTCTCTTTTTGCCAAACTCAGGCACGTCTTTTTCTATCTGAATTCCCCCAGCCTCCTCGAAAAAGAGTCCTTCAGTTCTCATGGCAGTACATGTCACGGTGGAAATTAATTTCCACAGCAAATATTCACCAAATATTCTTTGAGTATTCCTCACCTAACATCAGTATTTTATATCCACCACTAAGGTACGTCAATAAGAAACCAATGTTTGCTTTTTCTTGGACATCCAGGACGCCTGCATCAAACTTTTAATTGAGTCTGCTGGCTCATAAGAACAGTACAATTCACTCTTTCACGGATGACACGCAAAGATTCGTGAAGTGTTTCATTTTGTGCCCAAACGTTGTGACAGATTTTTGCACTCAGAATCCAGATTTTGAATGTTTAAGTCATAATGCATATGTTGAATGTTGTCACTGAATTTTCGGTTCCGTTCTAACGTGGGACTTCGTTGCACAGTCCCTGCTGCCCCAGCTCTACTTGCCGGTCTGCTACTGAGGGAAGCTTCCCTGATTGTCCTAATGTAACCCACTAAGGTCCTAATATCTGCAGGGAGAGTGGGCAGGTTCAGTCGGTTTTGACAGCGGAACTCCCACCTATGGTTATTAAGAATATGTAACTGCTGTTACTACACATGTACTTAAACACAGACATAAAAGAGGCAATACAACCAATGCACTTTAACATTTAAAATAAACTCTTTATATAAACAAAGCATGGAGGTTTTCATATAAATCCTCATTCACTCCTGGTTGGTTGCTATTACTTCATAGCAATGAATCTTCAGGATATTACTGAGTACAGATATCTTCAGCATCCACAAGGATGCACAAAACAGAAAAAATACTAAGCACATAAATAATACATATATTATAGGTCCATATGTTGTAAGCTCACAGATACTGGAACAGCATATGAGGTTTCCAAGCTGTACTTGGGATGCTGCAGCTCTTCTCAGCTGACTCCAGGACTTACCTGCAATAATTCAAGGAAGGCCTTAACACAGCAAAGTCTATATAGGCCTCTCCCCAAGATGTTGTCTCTTTCTGGGCCAGACTGAACTGCTGGCTGCTTTAGCAAACAGAATACTAAGGAAGATGTTTAAAAGGATCAGTAACTATAAAATTACATAGTTTCACAATCACATGAAATTACTATTAAGTATCTTAATAGTCCCAAACCAACATTTAGTAACTTCCCAGGATGTAACTTCACCTTTGTTTGAAAGAATCTCTAATAATTACATTGGTCATTTACCTGCAATAATTCAAGGCAGGCCTTAACACAGCCAAGTCTATATAGGCCTCTCCCCAAGATGTTGCCTCTTTCTGGGCCAGGCTGAACTGCTGGCTGCTGGGAACCACAATGGGCCTTACTCCTAGAAAATAAATAAATAAGAGAAGCCAATGTTGGATCAGGCCAATGGTCCATCCAGTCCATCCTTGCTCCCACTGGGGGAGCTGCTCCTCAACCTTCCCCCCTCCTCAGCATTCTGTTCCTGGTTGCCGGGGGGGGGGGGCTCATCAGATCCTCGTGGGCAGGGGTCATTTCGTAGAAAAAGAGGTGCAGGAGCTCATTAGCATAACTCATTAGCATAACTCATTAGCATAACTCATTTGCATACGCCACACCCCCTGACATCACTGGAAGTGTGTCAGAAGGCAACACCCACCGCTCAGGCTCCACTGGATTGTTTTGGATTGCTAGCAATGGGGCGGGGAGGGGAACGTGCAGATCTGTCCTCGCAGAGAAGGGAGAGCTTGTACCTGAATAAAACTTGGTCTTAAAGCTGCCACTGGACTGTTTTGGACCTGGGGCCTCTGCAACTTATCTGGCTGCTTCTTGCTCTGACCGAGGGCTGCTGGGAGCAGGGGTTGGGGCTTGTTGCATGTGCCCGCCCACTGGGCTCTTTACTGCCGGAGCTCCGCTCCTGTGCGCTCCTGCAGGAAATGACCCCTGCTCGTGGGGCTTTCAAAAATGCTTCTGCACCAACCAGATCTAGCTCCACCCCTCTGGCCTGCACTGCTGTCCCTTTGCCCAGCCCCACATCTCCAGCTGCCTGTCTAATATTCAACTGAATATCTGACCACAGGGGTCCCTAACCTTTTGGAATCCTCTTTGGAATTCTGACAAAGCAGGGTGAGTGCAGCCACAAAATGGCTGCTGGCTGCACAAAATGGGTGCTGGCTGCAGGAGGCAGAGCCATCCACAGTATGGCTGCCACAGCTTACCTTAAGTCACACATAGGGTTGCCAGGTCCTTCCTCATCGCTGGCAGGGGGCTTGGGGGGGAGGGGCGTTCCTGCAGGGGGAGGGGACATCCCCAATGTGCGATGACATCACACAGAAGTGATGTCATCATGTTGGGGACCAGCACCCTGCATGCCTAAACTTCAAGTGGCAAATTCACCAAAGGGACCCTTTAAATGCTATTTGCAAGAAGTGGGGGGGCCCCAAGTGCACCTGAACTCCAGCAGTGAATTTGCCACTTGGAGTTCGGACAGGCGCTGCCCCTCCCCCTCCCCTCCTGCAAGATTTAAAGGGCCTTGCAGCTGATCGGTGGGTCATGTGTTCCTGCTAAATGGAGTGCCCTTTAAATCTCGCAGGAGGGGAAGGAGAGGGGTGGCCGCCAGCAGTCGGGCTGGGGGGCGGGGCTTGGGGTGGGGCTTTCTTCCACCGGCCCTCTGGCAAGAGCTCACAAAATCAGGGGATCCCCGGCCCCCACCTGGGGTCTGGTATCCCTCGTCACACAATGAAGATCCTCGTGCTGTGGTGGCAGCTGCTGCTAAAGCAGCATTTAAAAAAAAAATCTGCACAGCCAATCAGAACTCCAGTGGCCAATGAGAAGCCCTGCTGGGCAAAAGCCCCACCTGGCCCCACCCATTTTTTAAAAAAACACTTGGTGGATGCCAGGAAAGGTGTTGGCAGGCGGTGTGGTGCCCGTGGGCACCACATTGGGGACCTCCCTCTTACCACTGTCTCAGATTCCGTCTGTCCTAACATCAAAGCAGATGGAATTCTGGGAATTCTGAACATTTCACACGCCCGCCTCCCACTTTGGCTTCGGAGGAGAATTCGTGCTCCTTTGGACTCCTGCATAGTTTTTCCCTATCAGAAGTGTTCCCTCTGGCTTCATAAGGAAAAAAGATAGTCCAATGTGCAGGCCTTTCCCTCCTTCCAGGGTTAATGATAGGAGTGTGGGGGGTTGCCATCCTCCAGGAGGGGCCTGGAGATCTCCCACTTTTAGAACTGATCTCCAGTTGACAGAGAGCCGCTCCCCTGGAGGAAATGGCTGCTTTGAGGGGTGGACTCTGTGGCACGGTACCATGCTGAGGCCCCTCCCCTCCCCAAACCCCGCCTTCTCTTGGATCCACCCCCAAAGTCTCCAGGTATTTTCCAACCCCGACCTGGCAACCCTAAGTATGTGTGACTTTGATAGGTGAAACCAGGGGTCGTTTCGTAGAAAAAGAGCTAGGGGAACTCATTAGCATAACTCATTAGCATATGCCACACACCCTGACATCAGCAGACGTGTGTCATAAGGCCACACCCCCTGACATCACCAGACGTGTGTCATAAGGCCACACACCCCGCCCCTAACGGTCCCGGCCGCCGCCGCCGGCCTTGCAGCTCCACTGCCGAGCCCCATGAGGGGCCCAGCGGTGGACCTGCAAGGCCGGCAGGAGTGCAAGGAAGCCCCGCGAAGGCCCTCCCTGGCCCCAGGCAGGCAGGGGTGGGGAGAGGCAGGGAGGAAGCAACTTACCCTCCCTCTTCTCCTGCCTCCTCCTGGCTGAATGAGGGCCGGAAGCAGGGCGGCCGGAAGCGGAGGGTGGGGCTTCATCATGTGCCCCGCCCCCCCGTACCTCACCCGGGGGAACTGCGATCCCCCGCGATCCCCCCCGAAATGACCTCTGGGTGAAACCATGCAGGGGTGGAAGGATTAGATCGCCTCTCCTCTCCCTGCACAGCACTTATCTGAACTGGGGCCATGCATGGCTAAAAACCACCTTCTAAAGCAGCTGGGAGTTCCACAAACTGAACTGTCGTGGCTACTTGGCCAGTAGACTGAGCTCAGCCATCAGTTTCCCTAATGGGGCAAATAGAGGCTCCCTGGGGTTCCTGCAGGTGGGGCAAGTGTATTTAGGGGGAATGTTAAATAGTGGGTTCCATGGATGAACAGACCACAAGCCTGATGATCAGTTCTACCTTATTAGTGATTTCAGCAAGCACAAGACAAGACTCCTGAGCCTCAGCTCTGTTAAATAGCATGCAATTGCCTCACCCAAACACACCCCTTTCCCAGTGATAGGCTATTTACATAACATTACTACTAGATTGGTTACTTTCAGAATCCTGGCAGGCTGTTGTTCTTTTGCTCCAAGCTCAGCCAGTCTCTGATTCAATCATGAATTATTCAATCCCAATACATAACAGTGGCCCCCCCCCCAAAAAAAACCCATGCCTTTTTAAGGCCCACCTCCTGCCCTTGGTATCTCTCTGCTCTCTCCCTTTCCTTAATTCCAGTGATGGCGAACCTTTTAGAGACCGAGTGCCCAAACTGCAACCCAAAACCCACTTATTTATCACAAAGTGCCAACACGGCAATTGAACCAGAATACTGAGGTTTTACTTTAGAAAAAACAACTCATACGTTAACTTAAGATGATCCAAACAAAGTAAGGAAAGCAATCCCAAATGCTTTCATTTACTTAAAATTATTTGGCAGAGAATTCGACACTTTAATGACGGTCTGGGCCTGGCTGGGGCGATGGCACGCGTGCCCACAGAGAGGGCTCTGAGTGCCACCTCTGGCACCCGTGCCAGTGGTTCGCCACCACTGCTCTATTTTCTCCGCCCCCCGTTGTCTTGCCCCCCCCCGCACTGTAATCTCCTAGGTGCTCTGTAAAGCGCCATGTCTGTTGATGCCATGTAAATAAACCATCCTCACCCTCCCTTTGCGTGGTAATATTTTGGCCTTGTAGCTGCTGGCTCTCGTGGGCATCCGGAAGGCAATGGAATGCATCTTCTCCCTCCATGATCTGGCCTGGCTGGATGACATCATCCCCGAAAAGGACAGGAAAGAGGAAGAGGAAGAACTGAAGAGGAAGCAAGACCTGGACGAGAGCGACAGTGAGGAAGTGAGCACGGTTGAGTTCTCGGGGCAAAGCGGATGGGGTCAGCAGTGTATTCCACCCCCCTTCTGTGTGGGTCAGCAGGGAAGGAAGAAATGGTCAGGGGGAAGGGCTCCCTTTTTCAAGGCCTATGTGGGATGGGGGCCACTGAGCCCTGTGGATGGTAGTAGATCTGGAAGACCCTGGATGGGGCTGCTACCGTACTTCAGCTAAGACGGTGGGGAGTCCAGCTTCAGGTGTCCAATGCCCCTCAAAGTCTTACCTGACAAATGTGTTCAGGTGGGGTAGCCATGTTGGTCTGAAGCAGCAGAACAAAGCTTGAATAGGCTTCTGTGTACATGCACGCTTCTTCAGAAAGCTTACACTCTTAACAAATCTTTGTTGACCTGAAAGGTGCCACTGGACTCAAACTAGGGTTGCCAAGTCCATCTTCCACCCCCAGCAGGGGACTTTGGGGGCGTTCCTGGAGGGGGCGGGGCATCCCCGACGTGATGACGTCACGTTGGGGACGTCCCCCACCCGCCCGTGCGCCAGATCTCCAGAAACGGCAGTTCCCTGCACTTAAAGGAGCCGACAATTCCCTTTTAAATGCAGAAGCCGGCGTTTCCCCTTTAAGAGCAGCCACGTTGCCCTTTTAAGAGCACGAAGCTGGCACTCCGGGCTTGGGAGGAAACATAGGCTTGGGAGGAAACATGGGCTCCACACACTTAAAGGGAGAGAGATGGGTGGCTGTGGGTGTTGGGGGTGGGGCTTCTGGCCGGCGGCGGGTAGAACCCCCCCCAAAAAATGGGGGACCCCTGGCAAACTGGGGGGTTTGGCAACCCTAACTCAAACTTTGTTTTGACATGTCTCGTGGATCCAGCTACAGGTACTTGTCCTTTCCGGATTTTGTCCGCTGCTGCCTATTTCAGTTTCCCATTGATTTAAAAGGAGTTCCCAGTGGTCCCCGAGTATCTAAAGCACCTTATACGTAGCTGGGCAGAACACCCCCCGCCCCCGAAAGGCTGTCCTTTCCCAGAATTTGGGCATGTAATCTCCAAAGGGATGAGGTACCAGGCAATGTTCCCTCTAAGCTGTGGAGTCTTGTGAGCAGGGGTCATTTCGTAGAAAAAGAGGTAGGGGAACTCATTAGCATAACTCATTGGCATATGCCACACACGCTGACATCACCGGAAGTGTGTCATAGGGCCACACACCCCGCCCCCAATGGTCCTGGCCGCCGGTGCCGGCCTTGCAGCTCCACTGCCGAGCCCCATGAGGGGCCCGGCGGTGGACCTGCAAGGCTGGCGGGAGTGCAAGGAAGCCCCACCAAGGCCCTCCCTGCCCCCAGGCAGGCAGGGGTGGGGAGAGGCAGGGAGGAAGCAACTTACCCTCCCTCTTCTCCTGCCTCCTCCTGGCTGAATGAGGGCCAGAAGCGGGGCGGCCGAAAGCAGGGGGCGGGGCTTTGTCATGTGCCCCCCCTGTACCTCTCCCGGGGGAACTGTGATCCCCCGCGATCCCCCCCGAAATGACCTCTGCTTGTGAGCAAAAATTCTACTTTGTGAGCTCCTGGCATTATTGTGAGCAAGCAATGTGGCTACTGCACAAATCAGTTTGCTCTGGAGCCATCCCTTCCTGAGCCAAGGCAAAAATGTGTGAGCTGGAGGCTAAAAAACTGTGAGCTGGCTCACACTAACTCAGCTTAGAGGGAACACTGGTACCAGGAATAAAAAGCATGTAGGCGTAGGTGTGCAAACTAAGTTTCCATCCCCCGAGTGGGGTCTGGAGATCCCCCGGAATAACAAGCGGTCTGCAGACCGCAGAGATCCGGTCCCCTGCTTTGGAGAGTAGACTGCATTCACATCCCCACTGAGCTCCATCCTGTCTCCAAACGTCGCCCTCCCCAGGCTTACCCTGGAATCTCCAGGAATTTTCCAGGCCGGAGTTGGGAACCCTACTGTGCCCATGTGCATTCTTTTACACACACACACAGGTCTCCAGTAGGCTGCTGCTTATGCTCCAACAATGCCAGTTTGGTGTAGTGGTGAAGTGTGCGGACTCTAATCTGGGAGAACCGGGTTTGATTCCCCACTCCTTCACAATGCAGCTGCTGGGTGACCTTGGGTCAGTCACAAGCTCTGGCACAGCTGTCCTTGAAAAAGAGCAGTTTGTGTCAGAGTTCTCTCAGCCCCACCCACCTCACAGGGTGCCTGTTGTGGGGAGGGGAAGGGAGAGGAGTTTGTAAGATGCTCTGAGACTCCAAGTGAAGGGCGGGGTATAAATCCAATCTCCTCCTCTCCTCTCCTCCAATCCCTTACTTACTCTGGTGCCTCTAGCTCTTTGCTCTTGGACTAGCCCAGGACTGCCACTGGCAACCCTCTTGCTGCCTCGTCCCAGTTTTGGCCTTGGGAGCTGCACTCCTTTCATAGGATTTGTCAGCCTGGCCTCCAGAAGAATGAGGACTAGTGTGCATGCACGTACATGGACGTGCTCCAGAGTCACATCTCAACAGGGAAAAGCAGATGGTTCTTTCCAAAACCTTCAATTGGAGACTGTTCCCAGATAAAGAGTCATTCTCTAAGCTCAGAAAACCTTCCCCAGTCTTCCTTCACACTCCGTTGAAGCAGGTTTTCAGTGGCAGGAAGAAAGGACAACGTAGACACAACAACGTGCATGTTGTTTTCTTTGGGGTTTTTTAATAACTCCTTCCTCGGCCTCTGCTCATTTTCAGTCTGAACGTATGTACCAAGAGAAAGGACCAGAAATCAACATCTCCGTGAATTAGAGGGACCGAGAAACTCCAGTGGACAAGACTGAAGATGAACCTGAGCTATGTGTAAGGATGTTTATTTTGTGTGGGGAGGGGCTGTGGCTCAGTGGCAGAGCATAGGCTTGGCATGTGGAAGGTTCCAGGTTCAATCCCTGGTTTCTTCAGTTAAAAGGACCAGATAGGAGATGATGGGATAGACCTCTGCCTGAGACCCTGGAGAGCTGCTACCAGTCTGAGTAGACAGTACTGACCGTGATGGACCAAGGGTCTGATTCGGTACAAGGCAGCTTCATATGACCATGTTAGGAGCTCAGGAGTGAAATGAACCAAGACATGAGAAGGGAACCTCAAGGGTTACAGCTGGGCCAGCAAGGGGTGGAGGAAACCAGGAAGACAATATTCTTGGGACCCGGGGCCCAACAAATCCAATCCAGGCAAATCATACAGTTTGTTTCCATTTGATGTTTGGGTTGGTTCAGGGTGGCGTGGCCCAGAAGGAATCTTTGGAGACCCTGTGATGGCTGTCAGAAGCCATGGGTCCAAGATCCTGCATACAGCAAAGGCCCACTGCATGTCATAGACGGCTGGGAGAGACTTGCTTTCATCGTGAATGTCCATTAGGTTTTCTTTTTGGTTCCGCACTGAGTTCACTTTCTGGTCACGGTTTCCCCGCGTTTTCTGAGAGTGGTTTTGTGTCAATTTCCCCCTTGTTTCACTTTCAAGCCGAAGTGTACAGATTCCCTTGGATTTCTTACCCCACCCCTTTGTTGGCACTCGAAGGTCGCTCCCTGCCCACATCGAGCTCGTTCTCTATGCACCTTCCACCATTCATCAGTGTGTCCCTCATTGTTTTTCATTTAAGCGGGGGGTTTTTTTTTACAAGAACTATGAGCCTAGCAATATGAGACTCCTGGCCAGTGGTCCCAGCTGGGCTGCCCTCTCCCACCGCCCGATTTCATCTGGGCGGCAAGAGAAGGCAGCACAGTAGCTGGGCTGCAGAATAAATACACACGAGGAAAAGAATGGTGTGTACTGCCGGCACAGAATCTGAAGTCGGGCTAAAAGGCGTGACTGCTTGGATTCTCCGCAGTAAGCTCTGCGTGCATAAGAGGCCTTATGCATCCTCTTCACACAGCCTGCAATGGAAGGCTCTTATACAACCATCCCAGGCAGCTTATTTGATTGGCCAATGGCTCCCACAGGTTCTCCTCTTATTTAATTGCAAAAAAAGAGATGCCGTTGAACATCCTGTTGTCACACTCCAGCATCACTAGAGAATGGAACTCAGAGTAAGGCTGTGCTGGTGAAAGAGTGGATAAGAGCGGTGTTAGCTATGTGTGGCTTAGCTCCAGCAAACAGCTAAGATTTAAAAACTTTTTTGGGGGGGGGGAAACCTGCCCCCCCCCCAAACTTGGTTCTTCAGGAACAGATTTAACCTCTGTCCTCCCAGTGGTGACCCAAGTACACATAAGGGAATGCGCACTGCCGCCCACTTTTGTGGAGGAAGTAGCACAGTGTTTAGTGGCAACCAGGGCTCTTTTTGTAGAAAAAGCCCAGCAGGAACTCATTAGCATAATAGGCCACACCAAACAGCAGGAACTCATTAGCATATTAGTCCACACCCCTGACAGCACAGCTCATTACCACATTAGGACGCACCCCCTTTCTGATTGCAGAAAGGGGCAGGATTTCACCTGGATTTCTTCTGCGTCTCCCTTCTGATGATTCTCACCTCAGTCATGGGCTTGCCCTGGTACGTGTCGGCCACAGTCATCTCCCTGGCCCACATGGACAGCCTGAAGAAGGAGAGCACCACATGTGCTCCGGGGGAGCAGCCGAAGTTCCTGGGAATCAGGTATTGTAGCTGCACCTTTCATTCCGCTGCCCAAATGGGCTTTTGCAAGCCATGTTCCACCAGGCCTTTGGCTGAGGACAGCAACGGTTTCCATCCCTTTCCGCTCCAGTTGCTTCTCATATCTGCTTTGCCTTCCTCTCCCCTGACTGCGGAGCGGCCAGCAGTCCGAAATGGGACCAATTAATATACACAGGGCTTTTTTGGTAGAAAAAGCCCAGCAGGAACTCATTAGCATAATAGGCCACACCCAACAACAGAAACTTATTAGCATATCCAGCCACACCCCTGACAGCATAGCTCATTAGCATATTAGGCCACACCCCACCTTAACAGAAGTATGGTCATCCAGCCACACCCACCTTTTGCTTCTTATTCTGTTTACCTTGTTTGTTGTCAAAACCTAGGGCTTTTTTTGTAGCAGGAACTCCTTTGCATGTTAGGCCACACACCCCTAATGTACCCAATCCTAATGAGTGTCTGCTGTTGGGTGTGGCCTATTATGCTAATGAGTTCCTGCTGGGCATGGCCAACTTGGGAGCCAGCCAGAACTCCGTTCCTGTGCGTTCCTGCCCAAAAATAGCCCTGGTGGCAACAGTATGTTTCAATCTCCTTCTGGCCCGTATGGCCCAAATGCCACTGAGAGGGAGTCTGAGGTGGGAGGGGGAATGCCATGTGTTGCTGTCCATTCTGAACACCCTGAACACGTCCCCAGCGGCCCTCGAAAGAGGTAGAGCCTTCCTTTGCTCTCTTCTCTGATCATTGTCACAGCAAGCATTCTGATAGTGTATATAAATAGATGGCACTCTCGAATGGCCATCTTTTGGGCAGGTGCTCTGGAGGCATCCAAATATGACTGTGGGTAAAGGGGGTTTCACTGCTTTCTCTGGCATACTATGGACCGATACCTTCTTATTGGGAGAGGAAATTGCAGAGAATTGCAGTCTGTGTGCATTTACCTGGAAGTAAACTCCATTTAATACATTGGGACTTACTCCTGGGCAGGGGTCATTTCCTGCGGGAGCGCACAGGAGCGGAGCTCCGGCAGTAAGGAGCCCAGGGGGCGGGCACATGCTACAAGCCCCACCCCTTGCTCCCAGCAGCCCTCAGTCAGGCCACAAGGAGCAAGAAGCAGCCAGGTAAGTTGTAGAGCCCCCCCCCACCCCCCTGGCCTGCTTTCAGGTACAAGCTCTCCCTCCTCTGTGAGGGCAGATCTGAGCGTTCCCCCCCCCCAAAATAGCTAGCAATCCAAAACAGTTCAGTGGAGCCTGATCAGTGGGTGTTGCCTTCTGACACACTTCCGGTGATGTCAGGGGGTGTGACATATGCAAATAAGCCATGCTAATTAGCTCCTGCACCTCTTTTTCTACGAAATGACCCCTGCTCCTGAGTAAACGTGCGCATGATGGCACTCTTTGTCCTTGCGGCTGTTGCCGCCTGTCCAGCGCTTGGACAGGTTCAGACTCCAGATTGGCAGTGTTAAGTCGCTCGCTTAACAAAGCAGTCGGAGAGTGATTCAGCAAGAACACAACTTTATTCTTCAACTCGAACCCAACTCCAACACGGATCAATATCTGATAGCCAGAACAGCCTTTACATTGCAGCTGTCCTGCTTTTAAACATTCCCGGCTAATGTAGCCACACCCACTGTACACGTATCAACCTATGAGGTTGCCGAGATAAGGTCCAATCACATTAGTTCCCGCTCAGGGAGCTTGCTTGCAGTGATTGGCTGGTTATTTCCTGGGCTAGCAATACTATTGGATGGATTTGGATCCTAGCCCAGGACGAAGCTTAACATGACAGTTCAGTTAGATGTTTCACAACATGTCATGCATTCAAGGCAGCTTTGAATACACTACAGGCGGCACAGTGGTGGCCTCAGTCAAGGCAGTCTTTCTTTTGCCACCCCCTGGCAACTACACATAGGTATGACAGGAGGAGAGTGGGGAGCCCAGGGAGTCCAGCTTTTGTTCCCATTGCCGTCTGAATCAAGGAGAATGAGGAGTGGGGACAAATGGCTAGATCCCCAGCCCTGCAGCCCTTCGTACCAGCCCCTGAATACCATAACCTCTGAAGGAGTGAGCTGGTTTGGTGTCGTGGTTAGGAGCGCGGACTCTGATCTGGGAGAACCGGGTTTGATTCCCCACTCCTCATGCAGCTGCTGGTGTGACCTTGGTTCAGTCACAAGTTCTCTCAGAGCTGTTCTCTCAAGAGCAGTCCTCCAAAGAGCTCTCTCAGCCCCACCTCCCTCACAGGCAGGGGCGGATTAAGGCTCGCTGGTGCCCTAAACACTGACCCATCTTGGTGCCCCCCTCCTTTCCTGACCCCCAGTCCATTTTAGTTGTTGACCTGTCTGACCAGATCGACAATGCAGGTTGCAGCAATACAAACATGTATTCATAGGATAACACAATATCCTGTACAAACTAAGCTTTTCGCCCTTTTCCCAACTTTGTAGTGCCCCCTTTGGCCCTGGTGTCCTAAGCACATGCTTAGTCTGCTTCATGGTTAATCTGCCCCTGCTCACAGAGTGTCTGTTGTGGGGAGGGGGAGGGAAAGGAGATTGTCAGCCGCTCTGAGACTCATTCGGGTAGTGAAGGGCGGGGTATAAATCCAATCTCTTCTTCTGTCTCCTTCTATCCTGCTTGCACGCTGTAGAAAAAGGAGAAAAGACTGGAAGAGTGAAGGAAGAGTGGCAGTGGCATTCCCCCCCCCAGCCCTCCCCACCCCAACCCAGGCTGCTTGAAGTTCATCACATTGCGTGGGCCTTTTGGAATTTGCCCCCATGTTGGACAGCACAAAGCTCCCCCCTAATCAATAAGACCTCCCCACACACACACACAGCCCATCCACACTCTAAAAGGTAAAGGTTCCCTTGCTCGAAAGCCAGTCGAATCCGACTCTAGGGTTGCGGTGCTCATCTCTGTTTCCAAGCCGAAGAGCCAGCGCTGTCCGAAGACGTTTCCATGGTCATGTGGCCAGCATGACTAAACACCAAGGCGCACAGAACGCTGTTCCCTTCCCACTGAAGGGGTACCTATTTATCTACTTGCAATTTCTTGCTTTCGAACTGCTAGGTTGGCAGGAGCTGGAACTAGAGACGGGAGCTCACTCCGTCATGCGGCAACCTGGGTCTCGAACTGCTGAACTACCGACCTTCCACAGCCTGCAGTTCAGCATCTTAACCACTTGAGCCACCGCAGCTCTACTCTTGCAATAAACAATGTTGTCTCTAGTGGCAAGTTAAACATTTGGCATACAGCTTTCTCTGATTGGTCAGCCGCGTGCAGCCAATGTGTTTTCAGAGGGCAGCCATCTTGGTCTGCAGTGGAACAGCTAGATTCGAGTCCGGTAGCACTGCGGAGACAACAATATGCAGCTGCTGGTGTGACCTTGGGTCAGTCACATGTTCTTTCAGAGCTGCTCTCTCACACGCAGTTCTCAAAAAAGCTTTCGAGCGTATCTGGCGCAGGGAGCTTTGCGTCTTGAAAGCTCACACCCTGAAAATCCTGCTGGTTTCTAAGGTGCTCCTCCTGGACTCGACACTAGCCGTAAGCAGCAGACGAGGGATGTTGCCGATCCGGCAGTCAGAGTGTGGAGTCTAAGATGGCTGCCTTCAGTTAATGCACTGGCCAATACGGCAGCCTCCACTAAGGCTGTAAAGTTAATTTCAGTGAGTAAGCCAATACTGTATGAAAGGAGGAGAAAAACTGAAGCATTCAGGCCGTGGTAGTCCTGTGCAGAGTTCCCTCTAATCTGAGTTGGTGTGAGCTAGCTCACAGCTTTTTAGCCTCTGGCTCACACAGTTTTGATTTAGCTCAGGAAGGAGGGCTCCAGAGCAAACTAACTGATGCAGCAGCCATAACTCGCTCACAACTGTAATGCCAGTAGCTCACAAAGTAGAATTTTTGCTCACAAGACTCCACCGCTTAGAGGGAGCATTGGTCCTGTGCAGGGCTATTTTTGGGCAGGAACGCACAGGAACGGAGTTCCGGCTGGCTCCCAAGTTGGCCACGCCCAGCAGGAACTCATTAGCATAATAGGCCACACCCAACAGCAGAAATCCATTAGGATTGGCTACATTGGGGTGTGTGGCCTAACATGCAAAGGAGTTCCTGCTCCAAAAAAAGGCCCTGGGTTTTGACAACAAACAAGGTAAACAGAATAACAAGCAAAAGGTGGGTGTGGCTGGATGACCACACTTCTGGTAACATGAGGGTGTGTCCTAATGTGCTAATGAGCTGTGCTGGCAGGGGTGTGGCCTAATATGCTAATGAGTTTCTGGTGTTGGGTGTGGCTTATTATGCTAATGAGTTCCTGCTGGGCTTTTTCTACAAAAAGAGCCCTGGAGCCTGTGGGATTCAAAGGTTAGGGCTACCACAACTTCAGAACTTTCCTCATTACTGGATACCAAAAAGATGTGTAGAATTGGCCTGCTCTGTTTCACATTACCTCAGTAGGAAAACCCCTGATGGAGAATGCCGATAGGCGGCTTGCCCTGGTCGCCCTTAAGCAATGGAACTGATGGCATCAATGAAGCGTGGGAAGTAGGACTCCGAATCTACAAGATGCATCGCATGTGTCAAAGTTGATTAACAATTAACGATTCCCTAACGAACACCTGCTGGAACAGTACGGGCAAATGAGGGAGTCTGTTCAGAGTAAGTCAGATGCTGGATTCAGTTGCTTCTTGTGGCCCTGATCTTGACAGGCTATCGTTTTGTGGTGATCCCGCATTGTAAGATTCCCAAAGTGTTTCACTGAATGATGCAAACGTTCTGCCAGAAACATTCTAATAATACGAAGAGACAGAATCAAGTGTTTTCATTTGAATCAACCAATGCAGCTTACAAGCGGGCAGAGAAGAACACATTGTTGTGTGGCTGAGTTGGTGTCAGTGCAGACTGTGACAGCAGCCATGAAATTAAAAGACCCCTGCTCCTTGGGAGGAAAGCGATGGCGAACCTCAACAGCATGATAAAAAGTAGAGACATCACCCTGCCAAAAAAGTCTGCATGGTCAAAGCAATGGTATTCCCAGTAGTCATGTATGGCTGCGAGAGTTGGACTATAAGGAAGGCCGAGTGCCGAAGAATAGATTCTTTTGAACTATGGTGCTGGAGAAGACTCTTGAGAGTCCCTTGGACTGCAAGAAGATCAAATCAGTCAATCCTAAAAGAAATCCACCCTGACTGTTCCCTGGAAGGCCAGATAATGAAACTAAAGCTCAAATACTTTGGCCACCCAATGAGAAGGGAGCACTCACTGGAGAAGAAGACCCTGATGCTGGGAAAGACTGAAGGTCAAAGAAGACGGGGACGGCAAAGGATGAGATGGTTAGACAGTGTCATAGATGCAACAAACATGAAGTTGAGGAAACTTCAGAGGACGGCGGAAGACCAGAAGGCCTGGCGTGATCTGGTCCATGGGGTCACGAAGAGTCGGACTCGACTGTGCGACTGAACAAAAACAACAAGAGTTGGTGTCAGAACTCTAGTAGCTGCTAAGGATTTTGCCATTTTCAATGCAGACAGGAGGCAGAAATAGGCAACCAGTCTCCTGTTGCTGGTTGTTGTGGAGGTTGTGCAAAGTATTCTTCTGAAGAGAGGAGCAGGGCATCAAGAAGAGAATGTTGGTTTTTATGAGAGCCAGTTTGGCGTCGTGGTGAAGAGCGCGGACTCTAAACTGGGAGAACCGGGTTTGATTCCCCACTCCCCCACCTGGGGTCAGTTATGGCTCTCTCAGAGCTGTTCTCTCAAGGGCAGTTCTCAGAAGAGCTCTCTCAGCCCCGCCTCCCTCACAGGATGTCTGTTGTGGGGAGGGGAAGGGAAAGGAGAATGTAAGCCACTCTGAGACTCCGGGTGAAGAGCGGGATATAAATCCAATCTCTTCTTCTTCTCTTTTTCTTCTTCTAACACCCCACTTTTCTCTACCCAGGGAGTCTCAAAGTGGCTTACAATTGCCTTGCCTTCCTCTCCCCTCAACAGGCGCCTTGTGAGGCAGGTGGGGATGGGAGGGTTCTGAGAGAACTGGGACTGGCCCAAGGTCACCCAGCAGGCTCCATGTGGAGGAGTGGGGAATCAAACCTGGCTCTCCAGATTAAAGTCCACTGCTCTTAACCACTATACTCTCAAGTGACTGATGAGCTAGATGCTGTTTTACCTGCACTAAGTGGGTACAGTTTGAACTACATCCTGAATGACGCTGGAGTTCAGTAAAAGATGGAGGCGATTATTGCCTTCTGACCACATGATGGACTGAGAATTTCAGACTTGCTGCAAGGCAGCCATTCAGATTCAGAGGCAAAGAAGGGCAAATCGTCCACTCCTTACCTTCTGAACAGTCATAGCTGGTAAAGCTGTACAAGTAGTTGCAACATTACATCCAAACAGCAAGGAAGCCATTAAGAGAAAAGTTTTGGGGCACTCAAAGCTTTTACACTTAAGACTGAAGAAAGTTTGAAAGCAACAGCCAGCGTAAAGGGGCACAGCGACAGGAATGAAGAACAAGCCCAAATGGGTGTCCCTTTGATCTGTTTGATTTTTGGAAGATGACAATGGAGACTTAGATGTTGAAAGCCATGCACAAGATAAGGATCTAGCCAGAGTTATACTGAATAAATGTCAAGATTTTGTTTACCAGCAATCAAATTTTACCATCCACATAATGGGCAGAAAGTTGTACCTTCAAGCAAACATTCAAAACGACACGGCATGCTTTGATAACATAGTTCATTGTGTGCTTGCCAAGTTCAGGGAAAGGATTAGACATTTCCACTAGCGCACCTTTCATATTTAGAAATGACGAATGCAAAGTGGCAAGGAAAGCTGTGAAAGACATATTGGTACATCTGCTAATGATTCACATACCTCAAGAATTTTTGGAAGAGTATTCCCATCAATGTAAGTACAAGACAAATGATTTAGAAGTAAATAGTCTCTCAATACTGCATCAGGGCTGATGGCGAAGGAATCCGGCACAAGCATTTATGTGCCATAACAGATGCTGAATTTGGCTACTGTCTGGAGTTGGTGACTCATTTATCTGCATGTTTCTCGCAGGTGTTCCTCGGCTAGCCACTGAGTGCAAACCTCCTTCAAGGCATGTGATGCATCTTGTAAATGCTGTTTACCACCTGTGCTTAGCTGGACTCAGCAATGCTATTGGCAGCATGGTAAATTTGCCTAATGGCAAGTACCTTTCCAGCTATCTCCATTAGAGGTTTTCATGTTGAGCTTACTAAGGCTGGTAAAAAGCTCATCGCCTCTCCTGGACACCATTAGGCTCTTTCCCCCTTCCTACCCCTCACAAACACATGTAGTAATGATTCAGATGTCATGCACAGAACAGGGGTCCCCAACCTTTCTGAGCCTTTGGAATTCTGACGCGGGGTGGTGGGTGCAACCACAAAATGGCTGCGGCGGAAGGCAGAATGAACCCGAGTGGCTGCCACAGGAGGCGGAGCCACACACGCCCCCGCCCAGAGAAAGTCCGAAGTGCAGAGAAGAAGAATTTAAACAATACACCAGGAAAAAGGAACGAGAGACAGACTAAAACAAATGACAGTGGTGGCAGCTTCCACCAAAGCAATGTTGTTTTGATCTGTGCAGCCATTCAGATCTTCAGTGGCCAATAAGTACTGTGCCGGACGAGTGCTCCACTCGGCCCCACCCAATTTCTGAGAATACTTGGTGGGAACCAGGTAAGGTGTTGGTGTGGGGGACCCTTGGCATAAACTTTGTCTCAGTGTCTGCCTTGGACACTTACATCCTACACATGTGACCTACAAGGCTACGCACAACAGGTGACCCTGGAGCACTGAATATCAAACGACAAGCAAAATCAGAGTCCTCCCACTGGGTGTAGCAGGGAAGTCCTTAGGTTGGCCGTTGCTTCTCACTGGTTTCCAGAAAGCTTCAGAGCCACCCCAAATTTGGATATGCTTTGGTACAAAATCTTTGGAGGGATGGAGGCAGGGGAGAAGATGCGAGTTCTGAATCATCAGAATTGTGTGCAAGGGATGAGGTCTGTCAAGATGCTCTTCTTCTTTGCAGATGGGGTTTCCTGAACTGTTTCCTGTGAGGCTCTTTCACAGCAGCAGACGGGCTGCAGTGAGAAATAGGTCACTGCCAATGCTCTGCAGAACGTGGCTGATTCATGACGGTTGAAACATGGACAGTGGAGAAAGATGTTCCGGGGGACTGGGGTGTAAGAAAAAGATGGACAGCCTTCCTCCGCCGCACGCACGGCGCCGTGCCTTTCAGGCCAATGCCGGATGTCCTCTAATGATTCCAATATGTCATTATGAGTGGTCTGGGAAGGTCGCCATTAGTGCAGCCGCTACAAAACTGTCTGGCATTCCTCCATCTTCTTGCTTTTTTGAAAGACCCTCTAATAAAATGTACAAAAAGGGTGTTGGTTTCCACATTCACTTAAAAACAACAACACAATTTTAGTTGGGGGCTTGCCTCCTTCCTTTTCTTTTGTTTCTTTTTGTCAGACAGGAACACCTCTGGCTAGTGCCAAAGGCTGGAATGTGGCTTGAGGTTTGTGTAAAGTTTAGTGGGGAGAGATGTGCGGCCCTCTGGGGTGGAACATGCAAGTCTCTGGCAGGGCAGCTGCGGTCTGCAGTATCTGTCCTGGACCAGTGCTTGGAAGCCTCAGTCAGTGGGATGAGGGTGAAGTGGCTGAATCTGAATCCAGACAAGATGAAAGGGATGACAGTTGGAAGGCTAGCGGCACTGGGGATATATGAACTACCTGTTACGAATGGTGTTGTGCTTGAAGCAGGCAAAACTCTCCTACACTGGATAATGAGAAGCTCACTCCATTGAAAGTGGGAGCATAACACCCTCCCAGGTGTCACCCTCGCTGACTGACATCTCCTCCATCTTGTCTGGATTTCACTTTAGCTTGTTCCCCCCAGACAATTGACCACAGCCAAAAGGCATCAGCAGAGCTTAGGCTGCGGTCACACAGAGCATTAGCCACGCTACAGAGATGGAAGATAGGCGGATTTTCCGGGCGCGATCACACCGCAACATCTGGGAAGCGTAGAGCTCCCGTGGCTAACCCGAGGCTTCCCGCTGAAGATGCGCCGTAAAAAACTAGTACCTCCGAGATACTCATTTACAGAAACCGCGGGGCAAGGGCAGGCGTCAGATCACGTTTCCGGTGGTAGCTCGTGGCATCCGGCGCCCGCCCATGTCCTGTTGCAAAAAGGTCCCCCCCCCCAAGTCTCCACAGGATGCACACAAGCACCCAACGGCGCATGCGCACGAAGAGGAATGAGAAAGTTCCGTTGCTGTGCAGAATCGCGCATGCCGTTGAACGCGAAACCAAATGTTCCACTCCTCCGTCCTTCGGCTTAAAAGAAAACAAATGACCCCGTTTGCCACGGCAGCGGCGCCTAGCCATTGCTGGTGTGATCGCGCCGCGCTGCTCCTTTGCCGCGCTGCAGGATCGTCGTGTGATCACCACCCTCGTTTACCTGCCGGCGCCGAGGGAAGGACCCGTGGTGTGCCACTGGCGCGTCTGATCGTGTAATCACGGATCAAACTGCGCCAGGGCGGGCAATTAGCCACGCCTCCCCGCCGCGATATCTGGCCGTGTGACCGGGGCCTTAGATAATGAAATATAGAGCCTTGGTGGTATCAGGAGCATATTGATGATACCCACCTTGATGGCTGATCTCTTTTATCAGTCTTACATAAATATTGAACAGCCTGGCATTTTGGATGACTCTTGCCAGGTTTGACCCTCATGTTTTGACCATAAGAAGCTATGGTAGGGATGCCAGCCTCCAGGCTGGATCTGGGGATCCCCGGAATTACAGCTCATCCCCAGACTACAGAGATCAGTTCCCTTGGAGAAAATGGCTGCTTTGGAGTGTGGACTCTATGGCATTGTCCCCCACTGAGGTCCCTGTCCTCCCCAGACTCCATCCCCAAATCTCCAGGCATTTCCCAACCTGGATATGGTAGCCCCACCACCCCCATCCTGTGGGTTTCTCGTTATCTTTACAACATCAGATTATTAATCTCCTGGCAAGAGGTACTGCTGACAGTGTATCTGGTTCACTGTGAATGCAATACACAAATAAATGCGATTAGAAAAATTGCTTCCATTTTATCCTTTATTAAGATGCATCCATGACCATTTTAACATTGATCGACACCAGACAATATAAAAACAACAGATAATTCTACATACATAATCACAGAAGAAAGAGAGCTTTAACAAGAGCTCAGTATGTGTCTCACTAGTGATAGATACACAAAGCAAGGAGCTTTGTTTGTGACAAAACTAACTGCCAATTCAGAGCTCGCCTATAAATATGCATTATTATCTCTTTCTCTTTAATTGGGCTCCCCTTCTTGGCTAATTAACCATTTTACAGATTTCAAAAAGCCTCCAAAACTATATATCCACTTAGATATATGCAGGGGTCTTTTTGTAGCAGGAACTCCTTTGCATATCAGGCGACACACCCCTAATATAACCAATCCTCCAAGAGCTTACAGTAGCCCCTGTAAGAAGAGCTCTGTAAGCTCTTGGAGGATTGGCTACAGTAGGGTGTGTCACCTAATATGCCTGCTACAAAAAGAGCCCTGGATCATATGCATTATTAACACATTCTTTTAATCACAACAATGAATATTAGATAAAATTATTCCAAATTTCATATTCATAGACATATCTGTTGGCCACCATATGCCACAACTTTCTTTTCTATCCTTGATGAGGCCAGTCTCGCTGTTATTCAGACACGAGGCCCGACATGCAGCTACATATTTCTTCTCTCTTTTGACTTACGTCAAGGTTACTCTGTTTCAAGGCTTCTCTACTCTGTTCAGCTCCGAAACTATTCTGATCTGAGACTCCTTGTTCAACACATCATAAGTATTTGCTGAAACCAGTGTAAGTCTAGTTCTGGTCTACAAAGGTACCTTCTAGGATCTTGTCAGTCAAAAGCCAGCTGCCAGCGACTGCTCCCCAATATTCCTAAACAGACCTCTCTTAATGAGTAACACCAATCCCAGTGGGACTCCATGTCCAGTAAATGATTTAGTCCACTTGTGTACTTAGGGTCACCAACCTCCAGGGTGGGCCGGTTTGGAAAAGAAGGTAGACAACCTTGGTTTATATCTGAGCAAACGCTCCAGCCAAAAGTCTCCAACAGCCGTTTACAATTTTTATGGGCAATTTAAGTTGAATTAAAATGAAACAAGGTCACAGTATCTAAAACGCAGAAAACAGCAGTAGCAGCAAGCCACCAGGCCTTTTAAGCAGCCCTTGTAAGGTGACAGAATTCTAGCTACTAGTGCCCAACACGACATGTCTGTCATATTGGATTACGTGATCAAAAAAGATTAAAGTAACATTTATTGATTGATTTTATTGATTGATTTTATTGATTTAATTTATACCCTGCCCTCCCCGCCAAGGCGGGCTCAGGGTGGCTTACAAATATTTAATAAAAACACAATTAAAACCTACATATCATAAAATACCAATAATTTAAAAAAGGTAAAAGTTCCCTTGCTTGAAAGCCAGTCGAGTCCGACTCTAGAGTTCATCTAGAGTTCACCAGGATTTAAGCATAACGGCTTCAAGCATAACGGCTCATCTCCGTTTCAAAGCCGAAGAGCCAGCGCTGTCTGAAGACATGTGGCCAGCATGACTAAACACCAAGGCGCACAGAACACTGTTCCCTTCCCACCGAAGTGGTACCTATTTATCTACTTGCAATTTCTTGCTTTCGAACTACTAGGTTGGCAGGAAGAATAATTTAAAACACAACTAAAACGCTGGAACATTATCGAGTAAACAGGAGCAAAGGTTATTTATAATATGACTTAGGTGACAGTATAATTCCCACAACTTCACACCAATTCAGTTATGTGGCACGTACAGGCTGAAGATAGTGATGGTAAGACCGAGACACAGGCTGGCAAAGGTGGTAAAGCCAGGGCACAGGGACACTCCTCGGTGTATGATGCGGCTCCTTAGTCAAATGCCTGGTGGAAGAGCTCCATCTTGCAGGAACTGCGGAACAGGGCCCTGATCTCTTCCAGGAGCTCATTCCACCAGAATAGAGCCACCACCGAGAAGGCCCTGGCCCTGGTTACTACTTGTGTAGTCTAACCTTCCTGCATGGTAGCAAACATGAGTTTTGCTCCTCCTCAGATACCCTTGAGCTGGTTGCAAAAGAGTGACTTGCTCTTGACTATCTCCCCTGGAATCCAGATTTCTTTAGTCTAGTTGACGACTGATTTCGCACAAGGAGCTGTGCCGCCGTCACGCCTCCCTTTGCCCCGTTTCCATTGGTCAATTTCCCACTCGAAGCCGCGTGGCCACATTTTGACCTGCGGCTTTGCCTGATTTTTCCCACGGTTTCGTGATCCTCAAAAAACAGGATCACGAAACCGCGGGGAAAATTGGGCAAAGCCACGGGTCAAAATGCGGCCGCGCGGCTTCAAGTGGGAAATTGACCAATGGAAACGGGGCAAAGGGAGGCGTGACGGCGGCGCAGCTCCTTGTGTGAAATCAGCCCCAGTCTATCCTCTATAGGAGTAGGGTTGCCAACCAGGGCTGGCAGCAGGCGGGAGTCCTGGGGGGGAACAGGACATGAAGGGAACTGCCAAGCAATGGCAGTTCTGGAGAAACCGCAGAAATGACATCATGCCTCTCCAGGCATAGTCAAAAACTCTGTGGCAAAACCTCTCTAGGAATCACTGGAAACTCCATGGTGAAACTTCACTTGTGACTTCACATGGATAAAATGTGGTATGTAGCTGGAGGTGCATAGAGGTACTATACAACTATACCATGTGGCAGCATGAGGCTTCTCCCCAAGACCCAACCATGACATCATCAGTCTTCACTCAATGAGCCTCAAGGTTTGGGGTGCTGTGTGCTTCCAGAAGCCCAAGGCACTATATTATTGCTGGCTATAGGCATGCAAAGCAGAGGGAAGTATCGAGGGCACAACACCATCTTGGGCTGGCTTCATGGGAGGGAGAAAGTCCCCCCCATTTGTTGCTCTGCCTCCCCCGTGCCTCAGTCCCAGCAATGCCCTGGCGCTTTCATCTTATTCTTCCTGGAGCATGTGACTTGTCTCATTCCGTCATGTGACGTGTCTTGTTCCATCTTATACATCTGGGGACAAGGAGGGATGTGCTAGAACCCTCACAACTCCAACAGGTGGGTGGAAGAGAAGGCATGCGCCTTTCACTGTGGGGTGGTGGGGGCAAGGGAATCACAGACTGGAGGCCACCGTGTCTTTCATTAATTCTGCTTCCTGCCCTACACAGTGTTCCTACTCTCTTTTACCATCTGCAGGTGTGCAATCAGAGCCCTATCCGGCGGGGCTAGGGTTGCCCG